AACATTAGATATTTCACGAAAACTTAAGCGTGATCATCGCACTATTAAGAGATTTGTGGCTGATTCAGAGCACAGACGAGTTCGTACAGATAAAGGTACATTGAGGAAGATTTCTGCCAGGTCCATGCATTGGATCAAGAGAGCAGCTGCTAAAATACCATTACATAGCAGCAAACAGATATTTGAAGCTGCTGGTGCCTCTGGAGTCTCACGGACATCAAGGTGTAGAGTCGTCCAGAGTCTTGCAACTGTGCATAAGCCTTCTATTCGGCCACCAATAACCAATGCTCACAAGCAGAAACGGCTGCATTGGGCAGAAAAATACATGAAGACTCATTTTCAAACAGTCCTGTTCACTAATGAGTGCCGTGCAACCCTGGATGGTCCAGATGGATGGAGTAGTGGATGATTGGTGGACGGCACCCTGTTCCAACAAGGCTGCGACGTCAGCAAGGCGGTGGTGGAGTCATGTTTTGGGCCGGAATCATGGGAACAGAACTGCTCGGCCCCTTTAGGGTCCCCAAAGGTGTAAAGATGACCTCTGCAAAGTATGTGGAGTTTATGACTGACCACTTTCTTCCCTGGTACAGAAGGAAGAACTATGCTTTCCATAATAAAATCATCTTCATGCATGACAATGCACCATCTCATGCTGCAAAGAATACCTCTGCATCAATGGCTGCTATGGGGATAAAAGGAGAGAAAGTCATGGTGTGGCCTCCATCCTCCCCTGACCTCAATCCTCCCCTGACCTCAATCAACCTCAATCCTATTGAGAACCTTTGGAGCATCCTAAAGCAAACGATCTATGAGGGTGGGAGGCAGTTTACATCCAAACGGCAGCTTTGGGAGGCTATTCTGACATCTTGCAAACAAATTCAAGCAGAAACTGTCCAAAAACTCACAAGTTCAATGGATGGAAGACTTGTGAAGCTGCTATCAAATAAAGGGTCCTATGTTACAATGTAACGTGACCTGTTAAAATGTTGTTAAACGTTTGATTGAAATAGCTTTTGACTTCAGTAAATATGCTGCAAACACAACAAATGACAATTTTCAGTTCTTTACAACCTATAAATTGTTTTGAAACTTACTGTGCGTAATAATTTGGAACAGTGCATTGTAAGTTTTTTATTTTAAAAAAAATCCTGTTATGATTAGGAGGTTTGTTCAATAAAATTTGAATTGTACTCTTAATAGTTGATAACATGAGAATTATGCTGACTGTTATTTACATCAATTATTTAGGTAAATGAGAAAAAATAGCATTTGCATAATAATTTGGAACACGGTGTGTGTATGTATGTATGTGTGTATATATATGTGTGTGTGTATATATATATATATATATATCTAGTGGGGCAAAAAAGTATTTAGTCAGCCACCAATTGTGCAAGTTCTCCCACTTAAAAAGATGAGAGAGGCCTGTAATTGGCATCATAGGTAGACCTCAACTATGAGAGACAAAATGAGAAAAAAAATCCAGACAATCACATTGGCTGATTTGGAAAGAATTTGTTTGCAAATTATGGTGGGAAATAAGTATTTGGTCACCTACAAACGAGCAAGATTTCCGGCTCTCACAGACCTGTACCTTCTTCTTTAAGAGGCTCCTCTGTCCTGCACTCATTACCTGTATCAATGGCACCTGTTTGAACTTGTTATCAGTATAAAAGACACCTGTCCACAACCTCAAACAGTCACACTCCAAACTCCACTATGGTGAAGACCAAAGACCTGTCGAAGGACACCAGAAACAAAATTGTAGACCTGCACCAGGCTGGGAAGACTGAATCTGCAATAGGCAAGCAGCTTGGTGTGAACAAATCAACTGTGGGAGCAATAATTAGAAAATGGAAGACATACAAGACTACTGATAATCTCCCTCGATCTGGTGCTCCACTCAAGATCTCACCCCGTGGGGTCAAAATGATCACAAGAACGGTGAGCAAAAATCCCAGGACCACACGGGGGAACCTAGTGAATGACCTGCAGAGAGCTGGGACCAACGTAACAAAGGCTACCATCAGTAACACACTACGCTGCCAGGGACTCAGATCCTGCAGTGCCAGACGTGTCCCCCTGCTTAAGCCAGTACATGTCCAGGCCCGTCTGAAGTTTGCTAGAGAGCATTTGAATGATCCAGAAGAGGATTGGGAGAATGTCATATGCTCAGATGAAACCAAAATAGAACTGTTTGGTAGAAACACAACTCGTCGTGTTTGGAGGAGAGAGAATGCTGAGTTGCATCCAAAGAACACCATACCTACTGTGAAGCATGGGGGTGGCAACATCATGCTTTGGGGCTGTTTCTCCGCAAAGGGACCAGGACGACTGATCCATGTACAGGACAGAATGAATGGGGCCATGTATCGTGAGATTTTGAGTGCAAACCTCCTTCCATCAGCAAGGGCATTAAGATGAAACGTGGCTGGGTCTTCCAACATGAGAATGATCCCAAACATACCACCCGGGCAACGAAGGAGTGGCTTTGTAAGAAGCATTTCAAGGTCCTGGAGTGGCCCAACCAGTCTCCAGATCTCAACCCCATAGAAAACCTTTGGAGGGAGTTGAAAGTCTGTGTTGCCCAGCGACAGCCCCAAAACATCACTGCTCTAGAGGAGATCTGCATGGAGGAATGGGCCAACATACCAGCAACAGTGTGTGCCAACCTTGTGAAGACTTACAGGAAACATTTGACCTCTGTCATTGCCAACAAAGGATATATAACAAAGTATTGAGATGAACTTTTGATATTGACCAAATACTTATTTTCCACCATAATTTGCAAATAAATTCTTTCCAAATCAGCCAATGTGATTGTCTGGATTTTTTTTCTCATTTTGTCTCTCATAGTTGAGGTCTACCTATGATGCCAATTACAGGCTTCTCTCATCTTTTTAAGTGGGAGAACTTGCACAATTGGTGGCTGCCTAAATACTTTTTTGCCCCACTGTATATATATATATATATAAAAAAAGAAGAAAACTGCCCTAACCCTTTCCCACTGCCAGAGCCTCACTAATATGATGGGTAGTCTCATTGACCAATACGGAGACTCTAAAGGTGGGAAGGGCACAGCTAAGCATCACTTTTATGCCGATCATAGATGGATTGAAATTCGTCTGGTTCAGCAGGGACTGGCCGAATTTTGATCTGTGTATGGGCAGGCTGATTGTACTGAAGTGGATCCATCGATAAACCAGCCTGTTGGGTGTTTTCCGTTCAGTCACTGCCAGTAGCTAAAGCCTCTACTGATCTGTTTAACCTCCTCGGCGGTCTGATTCTTTCCGATTTTTTTTGTGCTGAAAGCGGTACCATTTTTTTGCATGGAAATATGTAGTTTTTTTATTGTAGGCTGTAATTTTTAGGAATAACTCACTGAAATCTGTACGAACAAGAGTAGTAAACATTCCGGATATGATAAAACTTGAAACACGAAATCATAAATTATAATTTAATAAATAATAATAATATAATAATAAATTTTATTCAATAATGTAATCAAACCAAAAACACTGAAATTTGAAATACAGAGGCAAATTTGCACATCGCTGAGCAAGGTCGCAAAATCGTTTTCAGTGTCTGATGACAAATTTCCCCACGAATCATCACTCAATTCTGCAAGTGGTTCTGATTTACTATCGCTGTTCTAAAACCGCTTTTGACGTAAAGGGACACTTTTTGGACGCCATGGACTTTTCTAAGTTTCCAGGCAGAAAGAACAGTCAAAATGCAGGCAGGGCATAGGACAAAGCAGTAGGGACAAAATATATGTGAAATGCATTGAAATAGCAATGACAGCAAAAAATTACATTTTTTAAAAATTTCAAACGACCGGAATCCGGATGCTGGCATCGGCCGGAGGAGATGGCCGGGGACGCTGCAGGGGACACATCGCAGGAGTGCAGGACAAGGTAAATGCTGCAGGGAATCCCTGAGCAACGCCGCATGGTAAGCCCAAGTGTAGCTCGGGGTTACCGCTCTTGGTACTCAAATTTTACCCCGAGCTACACTTGGGAAAACCGCTAAAGAGGTTAAGTAAGTTTTCACAAGTGTCATCTGCTTATAAGTTTTTGAATTGCTTCTGCTTTGTCTTGTGTTTCCTATAAAGTATAGCAATTTATTATGTTAGTATGTCATAGCTGTGGAAGGTGGAAATCACTGTAGTCGGCATCGCTACTACAACAATCTCCAGCAGCTTCCAGGTTCCGTACCAAGTGGCTGCACTGTGAACATAGGAGGCCGCTCACTCAGCATGGGCGCCATTCAGAATGCTTTGCATTTATGTAATGTCTGCAAAATGTTCTATAGTTGCATGAGGTGAAGATTGTGACATCACCACCCTACCTTTCCTAATCATAGAGAACACTTTGCATTCAGTAAGAAAATGGAACGTGTTTCGTTCCCTGAATGGCGCCTAATCCAAGCAAGTGACCTCCTGTGTTCACAATGCAGCTGGGTAGCTGTTCAGCATGTGACCCAGAAATTAGCGGTGATCACTGTAGTAGTGGTGCCTACTACAGTGATTTGCAGCTTCCACAGGGATCCCACAGGTATTGTACACCCATACTTACACTAGTCCAAGCTAGACCAGTGTAACTAAGTAAAAATTGCCATACCTGGAATTCAGTTTTACACTCCATGACAAATTACACAATCCACTCTCCATTGGGATTTTTTATTTTTTTTATTAAAAACAAACTTGAAAACAATATCATAAATGGAATACAAAATCATTAGGCTACAGCTTTGTCGGGAGGAGTTTTTGCTCCTGGTAAATAAGAGCTGATTATTTATAATTGTCCTGCAATTTAATAAAAAAAGTCAGCTCAGGATAAAACATGAAAAGACTATACAGCACCACATTGATTTATTGACACAGTACAGGCAGTTTCTGCAGTTATCACAATTGCTTTTCTTTCTACAACGATACGACCGGCTTCACCTACACAAAGATTTTGAGCACCTATTTTCTACTCTGTTATGAGGGATGAGCTTCATTTCGGCAGCTCCTCGATAATGATCCGAGATACAGAGTTCCATCCAGTGGAGGCATCCCCTCTGGGGTAATCTGCGCACGTCCCCACCCAGACTGCAACATCCACCAGACCTGAGCTGATCCCTTCACACAGACCTTCCACTGAAAATAAAAAACAAAAGGGATTCGTTAAAAGACATTAGTCACCAGTGTTAATCACTGTACATTATAGTAGATCTAAACCCTGTGTTCTGTTCAAATGCTGCTTTATGCATTGACATACCTCCAGTTTGTCCAGACAGTATGATCACCTACTGACTGGCACCATCCACAGGCAGCTTAACTCTTCAGCAAGGTACAGAAGTTGAATCCAATGCATTTTACTTCAGCTAATTTCAGTACAGAGAATGTTTTTCCAGTCTTTTAAAGAGTAGGAAGACAATGACTTTCCTAACCCTGTCTCTGCGGAGTATTAGCAGTAACTGAGGGAACATGGAAAAAAAGGGGAGGGTATAGCTAGGGCTGAACTAACTAGCAATAAACAGGAGGGGAGAACAGAGGGAAACCCAAAATCACATAGTAAACAAGTTTTAGTCGCCCAAAAACAACACTGGATAGCATACTGAAGGACAATTATAACCTGATGCAACACAAAAAATATATGAACATGGGGAAGAACAAACTGGTTAACATTTAGGCTCAAATAAGGTAGCAACCTTGCAGCTTAAAGAAAAATTTTCAAATTTATTATGTACATCATGCTTTAAAAGAGAAGTATGGGCTGTTGAAAAAAATAAACATACTTACCTAGGTGGATGCAGCATCATTCCCCCGCTAGCTCTATACTGAGAATTTAGCAATCAAAGGCCGCAATCACTCAGTTCTCCCCCTCCGCACTGGCTCCCTGTTCTGCCCATCCATAGGGGGATGGGAGGGGCTGGCTCAAACTCTCAGTGGCATGCTGAGCCAGGTGACAGTCCAGGGTTCTGGGTGGATCCCGACCATACGGTCAGAATCTTTTCAGAGCCTGGATCAGCTCTGGGACGTCAGCCGGCTTTTAGCTGAAAACGGGTCATAGGAATGCAGAACTAAATGCACACCTGTGATCCATAGGAGAAGTATAGCTAAAAAAGCTTTGTCTATACTTATCCTATAAAAATGTGTATTATGCTCTGCTCCCTCCCTTCTTCCTCTACCCAACATTGCACAGTCCTCCAAAATCATCTAAGTCCTCCATTGTGATCATGGCTGGTGAACAGGCAGACATCTTACAATGGAAGAACCATCAGCAGGTTGATGGATAGATAATGAACATTCCATTAGGCCCCTTTCACATGGGGAGAATTCCATTTCCGATCAGCAGAGGATCAGATCCCTTGCTGATCAGGCAGATGATAGGTCCGTCTCTGCTCAGTTAATGCAGAGCGCATATGGACAGAGCCCACTCTGCTGTACATGTGGCCGGGAGTAAATGTACTTTGCTGTCTGTATACACCCGATTATTCTCTGATCTGATTTGCCTAAACAGAAGAGGACAGATCCCCCTGGACCAGATTGGACCAGGAGGTAGGTGGGTGTAAACAGACACAAGTCCATTTACACCCATCTGTCCATAGGAATGCAAGGACCTTCTGATCAGGTCCACCTGAAAAACTGACAGGTGAACCTGATCAGAACATCCGTCTGAAAGGGGACTTGCCTTCTATGGTGATGTTGAGAAAAGGTCATGCGACATCAGCTAGGCTGTACAGTTTAGGCTGAACTGCAGGTATGATCTTTATTGCATGCTTACAATGATCCATCTTGATACAATGTAAATATACATACAGTTGTGCTCAAAGGTTTGCATACCCTGGCAGAAATTGTGAAATTTTGGCATTGATATTGAAAATATGGCTGATCATACCAAAAAAATGCTCTTTTGTTTAAGGATGATGATTAGAGATGAGCGAATTATTCAAAAATTCGGGCTTCGGCTGATTCGCCGAATAAATTCGCTTCGAGCCGAATATATTCGCTGCGAATTTAACTTATAAAAAGGGTGTTTCTAGGCTTCAGAGAGCCTTTATATTAGTGCAGAACACTGTACCTTTAATTTAAATGCCCTTGGAGTCTGCTGGGGAAGAGAAATAATACTGTCAGTCAGTATGACATGCAGATGAGTGCCGTCGATCTTAGAATCACTGCACACTTCACTCATTTGGGCAGTCACGGGGCCAAAACCAGAGTGTGGAGCCACAGTGTGGCGGTGGAGGCAGCAGCAATGGGAGGCCATACAGCACCCTATGACAAAAATGGAACCCACCAGCAGTGTGAGGAGACCTGAAAGTGGCACATGGCAGAGTGTGGCGATGGAGACAGCAGCAATGGGAGGCCGTACAGGGACCCATGACACACTCTGGACCTGGCAGCAGCATGAGGAGGCGGTACAGGGGCCCATGACAGATTACGGGCCTGGCAGCAGCATGAGGAGTCGGTACGGGGGATTACGGGCCATGGCATGAGGAGGCGGTAGGGACCCATGGCAGGTGGCGGAGCGTAAGCAGCTAAAATTGAAGGCCATACAGAGGCCTATGTTAAAAAGTCCCCCCAGCAGCAGCGTGGGGAGACGACTATTAAGAGTCCAATGGCAGAGTGGCGGAGCAGAAGCAGCTTCAATTGAAGGCCATACACAGGCCTAGGTTTAAAAGTCCCTCACAGTTAATTCCAATAACGAACTCTACTCCTCCGTGCAATCTACTTACGAGACCCTGGGCAGGTCTGGGTCCAATTTGTGGTAGAGACTGGTTTTGTTCAGCCATGCTTGAGTGAGTAATAACAGGTATGTTGCCCTTTGGTGTCTGGCTTAATGCGCACAACACTGAACGTCCCAGCGTTTGTCAACGATTTGCCGTTAAGTGATGCAAACCCGCTGAACCACGTTCATGAGGAGCCGGTACAGGGGGCCAAAAAATATTACCGCCAGCCGGCGTGTAAATGGATTTAACTCTTTGAACGTACAATAGTGGTTGTGAAGCAGAAAGTCAGTTTATTTAGCACAATCGGTCAATTGCAGCTTGCCGTTGGCTGGAAACTGTACGTTTATGTCACTGGAATGCACTAATCACCCAAAAAATATTACCGCCAGCCGGCGTGTAAATGGATCTAACTCTTTGAACGTACAATAGTGGTTGTGAAGCAGAAAGTCAGTTTATTGTACACAATCGGTCAATTGCAGCTTGCCGTTGGCTGGAAACTGTACGTTTCTGTCACTGGAATGCACTAATCACCCAAAAAATATTACCGCCAGCCGGCGTGTAAATGGATTTAACTCTTTGAACGTACAATAGTGGTTGTGAAGCAGAAAGTCAGTTTATTTTGCACAATCGGCAAACTGCAGCACCAACTGTGCATGACAGCCACCAAAAAAAAAAGGGTGTATGTCACTTTAAATTTTCGATTCTTTGATAGCTGTGGCCCTAAGTAACGATTCTGTGTCCCTGAGTAACGATTCTGTGTCCCTGAGTAACGATTCTGTGGCCCTAACTCTGTCCCTTAATACACACAGGTCTGTCTCTCTTGAATGACCGGAGGCTAATGGAGAATTCTAAGATGGCCGCGATTTATAGCTCCACCATCACACAGTGCTGGCTGGCTGCTGATTGGCTAATGTGATCACATGTCATGAATGCATTATGGGTCTGCGCGCCTTCCCAGAGATCCCCGCCCCATCTTCTCTGTCCATTTTCTCCGTCGCCACACATGTCGCCGCCATTTTTGGGAAAATTCGATTCGTGCATCCGAAGTTTGCTAATCTTCGGATTCGTCGCGAATCGAATTTTTCAAAATCTTCGGAACGAATTCCACTTCGTCATGTTCGATTAGCTCATCTCTAATGATGATCATATGAAACCATTTATTATCAAATAGTTGTTTGGCTCCTCTTTAAATCATAATAACATAAATCACCCTAATGGCCATGATCAAAAGTGTACATACCCTGGAATGTTTGGCCTTGGTGCAGACACACAAGGTGACACACACAGGTTAAAATGCAAATTATTTATTTATTTCAGGTGCTTATATAGCGCTGTCAATTTACGCAGCTCTTTACATATATATATATATATATATATATATATATATATATATATATATACATTCACATCAGTCCCTAACCCTCAAGGGGTGTACAATCTAAGGTCCCAAACTCACATTCATACGTACACATACAAGGGACAATTTAGACAGGAACCAATTAACCTACCAGCATGTCTTTGGAGTGTGGGAGGAAACTGGAGTACCCGGAGGAAACCCACACAGGCACAGGGAGAACATGCAAACTCCAGGCAGGTGGTGCCATGGCTGGGATTCAAACCAACGACCCTAGTACTGCCAGGCAGAAGTGCTAACCATTTAGCCCCTGTGCGGCCCAAATTAGAGGTTAATGTCCAACATCTGTGGCTTTTTAAATTGGAATTTGTGTCAGAGTATAAATAATGAGTTTGTTAGTTCTTACGTGGAAGCACTGACTAGGCTAGATACTGAGCCATGGGTATCAGAAAAGAACTGCAAAAAATCCTGCGTAACAAGGTAATGGAACTTTACAAAGATGGAAAAGGATGGGTGATTTCTGTTATCATATGATTTAAAAAGGAGCCAAACAACTATTTAATAATAAATGGCTTCATATGATCATCGTCCTTCAAAAAAAGAGCATTTTTTGGCATGATCAGTTCAATGCCAAAATTTCACAATTTCTGCCAGGGTATGCAAACTTTTGAGCTCACCTGTATCTCATACCTGAGAAATCACAGGGGAAGCTGACAATTACTGTAGTAATTGGTGGTACTATAGAGATAGCCGCAATCTTCCAGGACCTACTAAGGTTGTGCAAGCGGCTTCCCCTCTGTACACCAACCACAGGGGGCTGCTTGCTCACCATTACCACCATTCATAGAACGCCTTGTATTTTTAAAAATAAATACAAGGCGTTCTCTGATTGGAGGAAGTGGAGCACTGAAGCCACCATGAACAATTGGAGAACTCCTTGTATTGACTGGGGAAAAAAATACAAGTTGTTCTATGAATGGCAGCAGTGCCCAGCAAGAAACTCTCTGTGGTCAGTATACAGAAGAGAAGCCGCTTGCACAGAACCCCGAAGACCGCGAAGATTGGTAGCGCCAAATACTACAGTGACTGTCCGCTTCTCCAATTGTCCCTCAGGCATGAGTTTGCTGTAATGTATTGTAGCAAGTTCCAGAGGAAGTTCCGCTCAGGGTTACTGGGAATGTACTTCTTGAAGCCTATATTGTCACCGGTCATACCCAACTTCCAAATCATGTTGGAATCTGCTAGGCGGCTCTGAGAATATCCTTCACAGTGACATTTTTTTTTTTTTGTTACATTATACTATCTGTATGTGTGCGACAGCAAGGAGCCAGCAGTGAGTTGGAATAGCTTTCCTGCATTCTAATGAGGGGTTCCCAATTCATCTGTCTACCTGCATGGGGTAAATTGGGTAAAAACTGGAAACTATGTTCAGTTTTCCACGGCTGCATTTTAAAGCTGAAAGTTAAAGGCAAGTCAAAGCCTAAAAATGCCTAAATCTACTCCCACCCCCATTCGAAGTCTATTCTATCTACCCTGCAAAAGGAAAGATCTGTCTACTTACCTATTCTGAAGTTGCTTGTCACATGATCATCTCCAACGCTCACTTCAATATAGAGGAGAGATCGCCAACAATGGCTGCAGAGCCTGGGCAGTGACGTCATCCACAGACTTTCTATGGGGAACCCATTGTTGGCTGTCCCAACTTTACTCTGAAGGCGCTGGGAATCAATCAATGTGAGTGGTTCGAAGTGACTTCAGAACAGGTAACTATAATCATCTTTCCTTTTACAGGGTAGATAAACATAGACATAGAATAGCGGTAGAGGTAGATTTAAGGCTAGGTTCACACTATTGCGAGTGCTGGAATCGCAGCTGTTTGTTGCAACCACCCTCCAAAAATGCATTCATTCTTAATAGCACCCCCACGCATATAAAAATGCAGCACATTTGGAGGTGTGGAACATGGGGAAATTACATGGTGCATTTCATGGCCACTGCATTTCTAAAATGGTAAAGAAACTTTTTCCTGCAGCCCATCCATGCGTAAGTGGTAAGCCCTCAATATTGTGAACTTAGCCTAAGCTTAGTTAGCTTTTGACTTGCCTTCTACTTTAATTTTTATTTTAGTGAAATTAATTTATGCATACCTAGATTAAAATAGTTTGAACAATTTGTCATGTTTGTATTCTACCTGTAGAAGTGCGGTGGATGTTTATGGTAGAGTTGAACTCGACACTGCCTTGGTCCAGATATATAATGGCCTCGATGGGAAGGGGTCCAGAACACTCGGCTCCATTGAAGGTGAAGTACCAGCGCTGGCAACAGGCGGTCTTACATTTCAGGCGCAGAGAGCCGCTGAACACAACTCTCAGGGCACTTTGTGTGCGCATCTTCGTGAAAGTACATTCCTGAGAAATAGAAAAGAGCAAATAAGACCCCTCATCTAATGTATCACTGTCTACGGGGGAAACTGTTCATGTTCATCCCTGTGCTTTAACAAACCATGGCTACACAATAGTCATTGCATTATGTGGTGCATTCAGGGGATGGGTCATTTTCTATCTGACAGTGATCCAGACCTGTCAAAACCAGAAACATGGCTGTTTTTGCTTACTTGCTTGGTTGGCCAACACTGGCTTTCACTCTGAACAATTATTTGGACCAGCTTGCTGACTTTTCTCCGACTTCTCTGCTCCACATAGTTGTTCTGGGCCAGTGACTCCAAAAGTATTAAAACAAATGTTTTGCCATTATACTTTTTTAGTTTTGGGCAGAGTAAAGAGAGATTAGAACACCTATTAGGTTTTTATTGTTTGCCCTCTCAATTTGTACTGTTTACCGTTTTAATTGAAAGTGAAAGTAAAAGAAAACCCCAAATTTTGGGTTGTCCCCAAAAAGTAATAGAGGGAAATGTTTCTAATTGGGACTCTAGTTCTGGGGATCCCCAAGGAATCCCCTTAGTTTGCAGGGATTTTCTCTCACTTCCTGCATTGGCTATTGGATGGGAAGTGAAGGTAAACAGATAGCAATAAAAAAAAAAATGACAGTTTTTAAAAGTAAGGGGAGGGTTCTAACCCTCCCCTTACTCTATCAAAAATGAAAAAAAAAGTGTTGCCTATAGTTCTACTTTAAAGTCAGTGAGTCAGTAAAACAGCCAAAAACATAAAACATATTCAAAAGGAGGTTAGTAGCAGTTATACTACTCAAATTTCCTTCATGATAAATCTACTCTAAAGCTCAACTCCAGCATTATTGTGTCCTCCAAATCCCCCCTCCCTAAACTCCCTGGCCATACTTTTTTTTTTTTTGAAAATCTAATTACGCATACCATTTTTCCTGCAGTGCTTAGGCCTGTCTGTTGACTTCATTGGCCCTATCTCTACTCCTCCAGTGGTGGCAGCTGGTGGTCCTTCTTCCTGGACAGTGCTCCACTCAAATAATGACATCTGGGAGTGCTATGAGCCCAGACAGACATGATGACGTGCCCCTGGGGTGTATGTACATGATGCCCCAGCGTTCACAGAAGTGGTATGGATAATGCAGGGAGTCATTCTACCCAAAAGGGTATCAGTGATGGATTGTAGAGAAGTGGGTCTACAGGGACAGCTCCATAAAGGAAGTGAGAAGTGCAGTGATAGCTGCCTTTTGTATTTTGTATTCTGCTGGGTCACTGAGTTTTGGAAAAATGTCTAATAAGTGGAGTTGGGTTTTGAGCTACTTTTGTAACTTGTTCTACCTTCCATCTCTCTACTGTTCACTTTAACTTTTATAAACTCCTTTGTGCCCTCTTTTGTTATTTACTTAGCTTTTCCAATTTTTTTTTCACGGTATTTACATATCTTGTCATTTTAAAACTGAATTATGAATTACAATGCCTTGCCTGCAGTCTTTCTCAACTTTTTTAACATGGAAGAACCCTTGAAGAAACTTTTAGGTCTCAGGGAATAATTACTATATCTACATTTCATGGTAAATTAGTTTGGTGGCCATTGGGAAGAATGTCCTTCTTACAGATAGCTAAAAAAGTAATTTGTGTCAGTGGTAACTTATCTGAGAGACAGAAGTTTCTTCCTACTCAAGGAACCTCTAGCAACCAATACCGTATTGAGTAAGGGTAATATGGTCATAAAACAGACTGCTTAAAGCACACTCACTGCGATTTTGCCCAGGTCTATGCCGTAGTTGAGGGCACTCCAGGCGCACTGCTTGTAGTTAGGGGTCCAGGGCTCCACTAGGCTCTCTCTCATACATTCTCCTTTCTCACCTCTTGCCCCATCACGTCCCGGAATGCCAGGTGTTCCGGGAATTCCATTAACTCCTGGAGTACCATCTCGCCCAGAAGGGCCCATACTGCCTTGCATGCACAATCCATTGTACTGTAAAAATAGAAAGGGAAGTGGAAAGAGCAGTGTTAAGTTACAGTATGCATATTGTTATATTATTAATGAGATATAAGTATACAATTTTCATATTTAAGTGAATATTTATTGGTCTTTTAAAGCACTACAGCAAATAGTGTAAATTAAATATATAACTTAAAAGGGAACCTGTGCTTTGCCCATGCAGGGTAAAGCAATGTTTTCATATTATTTTCCACATCCCCAACAACATATGCTTTCCTTTACTTTTGCTGTCAAACATTAAGTTCCAATTTCAAGTTAGTGATTATACATGTGTAAGCAGGTGCAGTCTACAGTCTCCACTACAGGTGGTGCTCGTCCTTAGTGGCAATGCAAGAGGAGGAGGAAATCAGGAGAAACTGGGTTCCTCTATGGTTTCCCCGGGCTCCTGAAGCGCTGGATCCAGGTGACCCTGTTGGCCATCTTGGGTCATGCAGAGTCCTTTTAAGTCTTTGCTCCTAGGTTTTGGCACGCTTTGTGAGACTGGCTAGTGTAGGGACAGGATATCCATCTGTCAGGGACAGCACTAGCAATAGGGAGAGGTTTTGGTAGAATAGGGAAAGAATAGGGTCTATGTCTACCTGTTCAGAAAGCTCCCCTTTGGGTTGAACCAGCTAGGCCCCATTCCTCTCCTGATGACAGGTGCTGTCCGCAACTCGGATCCAAAGATTGCTGACTTTGCTCTAACTGTTGTAAGTGTCCTGGTTGGGTTAGCAGTCGTTGGGCCTGTTTTTACGGTTTGACAAGTTCTTCAATACATCGATATTTGGCAAATCGAAGATGTGTGTGCTCTTTGCCATTCTGTACCTAACCAACACATGACTGCATTCCCATCCCATGTGAGAGCACTGGGCTAATCACCTAGCATTAGTACTTCCACATGCTGCTCCAATCTTGGAAGCAGTGAGTATTTCTCTAATTTCTGGTGTTGAACAAAGAAAAGCTAATGCTGGCATTGGAGAATAGACAAAGTAGAGTTTTGTTTTAAGTGTCTTACTAGGATGGCTGAAGAAACATTGACAAAAGAGCTGATAGGTCTTTCCAGGTGAAAGTTCTGCTCCAGGCACCATCCAGTGCTGGTCACATGACCAAAAGCTTATAAATGTGGTCATGCAATCTCAGCTGAAATGGAGGATTAAAGTTATGGATGGCTTATCCTTCCCTTTAGCAGAGGTTATGTGATCAAATGCCAGCAGCAGCAGTTTATCCAAGCAAGGTAAGCATATCATCTTTTCATCCTTACACTTTATGCATCCTAACAAGAAAGTTAACATAGCTTTCTGTAAACACTGATGTTTCTCACAGGGACATAATGTTTAACCCACCAGGCTTGTGCAATATCACAATGGAGGGTACATGGCATCACTTCTCCTCGAGTGCACTTAGCTAGAAGTCCAAAAAAGCTAAAGTGTTATAACAAAGGCCAGGACTGGCCGAAACACTTCAGAGTTGATGTTCGCTTTCTACTCTGGTATGTTGCAATAAAAGATCAATTGGACCAACATTTGAAGTAATCCTTGAACTATAGGTCCATTTTAATACTTTTTCAAAGACTATACATAGTCACTATCTACTGTTTCATGTACTAGTGTCTTCTACAGACTCTTTTTGCCATCAAGTTGTTTGCCCTGTAAAGGTCCATCTAAAGGATTGTTTTTCAATCCACTCAAATTTGTGTAAACTGTTCCAACCCAAACATGGAACTTCAACACTGAGCTCATTATGGAGCTGAAATTGGTTCTGTCCAGCCTTCTATGGATTAATGGCATGTGTTGATTTTTGTCCTGGATGCGGGAGACATAAGGAAATACCTTGGGCAGCAGCAGCCTGTGAGCTGGAAAATGTGAGTCAATTAGCTGTGAAATAAGAAATAATGAATAGAGCTGTATAGCTGCCAGAAGACAGAAATGGAACTTGAGCCTAAAAGCTGGGGCCAAAAATTGCTTCTGACTCCCTGAGCCAAGATATAAGCATGCCTCTATAGAGTGTCTGGTGCCAGAAAGGCCTTTCATTGACTGTATGCATTGTGAAGCCATGGAAATATGTCTTCTTGGAATGGCTGCAGGCATCTGAATCATTGCTGCCAATTCATTGCAATGCATACAGTTTGCAAAGAGCTTTACTGCAATGTAAGGTCAATGCCAAATCTATAGCAAGGGAAAAGGTGCTCTAAATACCTAAATACCTTTACACTCACAGCAAATGCTATTTACCTTTTTATTGATCATAATAGCAGCATAATAAAAGGTTACAGCTGTCTTGGCTTGAATTATCTAACAATCACTTTAAATTGGAATGCCTGGAGAAAATTGCAAACAGGTATTCAGACCTCACTAATCCCTGCCGGTCTCCAAGCTCCTCGCTCATCTTGGGGTTCTGACCATGCAGAATATTCTGGGGGAGTGCACTGAGGTTAGTCATTATTATTCCTGGCTACTGGGCAATCAGAAGATGATGTTAGCATATCTTTTTACAGTTTCAATTAGGATGTTGAGGGAGAGGGAATGAGGAGGTTTAACCCCACCAGCTACACATTTACCTTCCCTTCAATTTTCATCTGCTCAGTTTAAAGTACTCCGATTTGGAGCTTACACAGGGCTAAAGACTCTTTTCCACCTAATCTAACAGCACGGGATGTAAGAGTAAATCTCTATAAATCTCTACAAAGTGAGGGGAATATTCCTTTAAAATTGTTGTCGTAGGAAATATTGATTTCCCTTCACTTTTTGTCTTGGTGACAATGGTCATCGCTACAGACAGAGAGGGTGACTCTTGCCACAGGGGTTACAAATGCAAATGGAAACTTGAGAGGGAATTTAAACCTTGCTTACTCTACGCCATACAATTTAATTGGGGAGAGCTTAATTCCAGGAGATGGAGGTAAGGGCCACGCATGGAGGGCAAGTCTGAGGTTTTGCTAAGTGCCAACCATGAAGGGTACACCTGAGGTTCTGGTAGGTGCCAGCCTTGGAATGCACACCTGAGTTTCTGCTAAATGCTGACCATGAAGGGCACACCTGAAGTTCTGCTAAGTGCCAGCCATAGAATGCACACCTGAGTTTCTGCTAAATGCTGGCCATGTAGGGCACACCTCCGGTTCTGCTAAGAGCTGGTTATGGAGGGCATGCCTGAGGTTCTGCTAAGTGCGAACCATGACGGGCACACCTGAGGTTCTGATAAGTGTTGGACATAGAATGCACACCTGAGTTTCTGCTAAATGCTGGCCATGAAGGGCATACTTCAGGTTCTGCTAAGAGCTGGTTATGGAGAGCATACCTGACGTTCTGCTAAGTGCGAACCACGAAGGGCACACCTGAGGATCTGATAAGTGTTTGCCATAGAATGCACACCTGAGTGTCTGCTAAATTCTGGCCATGAAGCGCACAAATGAGGTTCTGATAAGTGCCAGCCACCAAGGGCATGCCTGAATTTCTGCAAAGTGCCAGCCATGGACAACACACCTGAAGTCCTGCTAAGTACCGTCCATGGAGGGCACACCTGAGGTTCTACTAAGTGCTGGCCATGGGGGCCACACACAAGGTTTTACTAAGTGCTGGCCAAGGAGAGTACATCTGCAGTTCTGCTTCAAACAGCACTAGGGTCGATGCTTAGCAATCCTCACCAGCAGGGCTGCTGATAGAAACAACAGGGCCTCATGCAGCAAACCTGAGAGCCCCCCCCCCCCCCCCCACAGTTTACTGTGCTTCAGTAATGAATGAACACAGTGAGTGATTGGTACCGATCACTCATTGTGTTGATTCAGGAACAAGAGGGGATGGTAAATGTGATTTATTTACCAGACCTTTACCCCACTCTCCATCCTGAATGATCCTATTATGTGATTGGAACTGCCTGTGGGAAGGAGAGGTGGGAAACCGAGAGCACTACGGTGGGTGGGGGCACACAGGGGGAAACATAATGGTCAGGGAGAGTGATTAGTGCAGTGGGAGGGCAATTACTGGAATGGATTCTCTGTATGGTTCTCTCTGCAGCAGCTGAAAGCCAGCAGAAGGAAGAGAAGAAGCCAGCATTTAGCTGCTGCAGAGAGGGCCATACAGGGGATCGGTTCTAGTAGTCCCCCCCCCCCCCCCCATGCTGTGCCGATCACCCTCCCTGCCCACATCAAATTCACCCAGCTGCCTGGGCCTCCCTACTGGCCTGGGCCCAGTACAAGAGAACTGGTGGTACCCCTTTATCCATGGCCCTGCTCACCAGCGACAGTTTCTAAATAGGGTGGGTTCATATATGCTTTTCAAAATCTGTGTTTTCCATTTAAATGCATGTTGCTGCATTCAAATGCAGATGGCAGCTGTGCCAAGAAAGTCTACGTTTGACCTGATTTGCCTAAGTTTCTGCTAAATACCAGCTATGGAAGACACGTCTGAGGTTCTACTAATTGCTGGTCTTGGAGGGCACACCTGAGGTTCTGCTAATGCAGGCTATACATGAGTCGAATTCTGAACTAATTTTCTTAAGGAAATCAGAAATTTAGTTTGTTTTGTAATCTGATGGTGCCACCAATGATTTAGAAATTCAACCAACCAAGCTTTCAATTTCACCCCATGTTGCTACTGAAAATAATTTTTTTTCATGGCTGGGAATCTTCTTTTTTTTCCAGGTCAAAGCTCATGCTCTTTTCTTTTTCGACTATATTTCTCACACGATTCTCCCATCATTGATTAAAATTTGTTTGTTTCTCAAAAAATTTCCAAAATATCCGATCACACAAATTCGATGGCTGCACAAAAATCAGCCAATGCTGTGGCCCACGAATAGTACAAAATTCGAAAGAAAATTGTTAGTTACAAATTTTCGAAAGAAAACTCTTTCAGAATTTGACCCATGTATGGCCTGCATAAGTACTGACCATGGAGGGTACACCTGAGGTTCTGCTTCAGGCAGCACTAAGCCCAATGTCACACTCACAATCCTCACCAGTGACAGTTTCTAAAAAGGCTGGGTTCATATTGGCAGGT